TTGAAAAAGTGCAACTTATATTATTTATTGAAGATTTCGAGAGAGTAGAAATGAATGGCTACTCCTATAATATGACAAAATATATAAGTATACCACAATACTAAAGCCAGTAGTTTAGCATTAAAAAATAGCTATTCCCAATAAGATGTAGCTATTCCCAAAAAGTCAAATGTGATCAATGTCTCCACTACTATTTAATATTTTCCTAAATTAATTAACCAATAACTACAAGCAAGATAAATCGATTAGAAAAATTAAAAACTGAAGATTACTTCTATTTGTAGATGAAGTTATAGTATACTTAAAAACTTCTAAAATATCATGAAAAATAACTGAAATAATAAAATAATTTAGCAAGGCAGAAGAGTTTAAAATTCATATGCAAAAATGAATAGTCCTCATACAAACAAATGATAACAATTGTAATTCACTTTGATACAGATACTCAAAAGTCTGATATCAGAATTTACCTGATTCATACACACAATTCTTTTTTGATCAAGGACTTTAAAATACTTCATGATATCTACCCAATTATCGTGCTAGCCTCCATTATCCCATTCCTTCTTCAGCATTCTTATTCCTGTCTAATACTCATGGCCTGCTGCTGAGTTCAGCGATACAGTCTCAGATACATGAACTGCTAAATGTAGATTGCCAGTGATTTTGACAGATGTTCTGAATGTGCTGACTTAGCAGATTTCCTGACGTGTATAGAATAGAAGGGGTGTCCTGGGCTCATTGTTAAATTGTTCCTCCTTGAAATTTTCAAAGATGATTCTTGTTATCTTTTATAGAACAGCAAAGCCACAGCCAAGGTAAGTTCTAGGACAGACATTTGTGGAGTGTCTCTCCAGTACTGTCATGCCTACTTTCCTATCTTCCCTGAATATGCTTGGGCTGAATACAGATTGGTCATGCTCATTAAGGTCTTGTCAACTTGGTCCATTAACTGATTCAGACTCAGGTGTTCAGAACTTTATAAATTACTTCTCAAGAAAGTAATTCCATTTCAAAAACATGTAAATGACAAGGAGGGGATATCTAAGCTGAATATTAGAAATACCTGAAAGGCAGATTTCAGCTTGAAGTTCCCAGATGCTCTCAAATTGCATTGTTCATGGATGCCCCAACATTCCAACCAAAAGGCTGAGTTCCCTGATTTATGCTGGCATTTTCTAGGGTGGTATTCTTACTTGAGACCTATTGACCCTTACCCATCTATCAATATTGTGTGCCTGTGTGTAAATAAATCCATGTTTTAGGAGGGAGACATAGACTTTTATTTTCATTAGATTTTTAGAACCAATTTATTTAATATTAAGCTATTATAAAATCAGTACAATTAAAATCTCTGAACAAAGAGACTGAGTTTTGATTATTTGAGCTCCTCATGGAATTGCTCTTTAGTAAGGAGTGGTAGAGGGTTTTGAGGGTATAAACCTATGTATCATAAAGCATATATCATTTAGTTTTAATCTAAAATCTGTATATTATAAAACAGATAAAATTAATTCCCCAGTCTGAATAATAGGCATTAAACAGATTGCTTCTCTCCAACATTGAACTCGATAGGTATATATATAGAAGAGATTTTTCAACTATTATTTGTTTACATACTATCTCCCCCAAAGAAAATGGGCAGCTAGAAGTCCCATAGGGTATCTACTTTGTAAAACACAAAAGAAACTTTTTACAAATCAATCTTTCTAAAATTATCTTTTGAAGTTCTGGAACAAAGCTCAGCTGGCTCCCTTTTCCTTGGTTCCATCTCAGTGGTAGGTCAGAGGATTTGAGAATTGAAGAACTTTTTCCAATTATACAATAAGCAGCAGGTTTCCATTAAGGCAGAAAATGCATCATTTAAATAAATGCTAGATATCCTTATAAATAAATGTAACAGTTAAATCCTGGACTGATCTGTCTACTTATGATACCAGTTCTATGGCTCTCAAGTCTAACATCCAAATATATCTACCAGTTCTTAAAATGTTTATATATATTTTCCTTACATTTGTTCTAAACTTCTTCAGTCTCAACAATTTCTTCCCAGATGTATGACAATTCCCTTAGATCATAATTATATACAATGTTTTCTAATGCTTCTTGATAGCTTCCATGATTATCATATACTGACACCCAGTATGAAGAATTTAAATGTGTGGATTGAATACTGTGGCATCTGAGCAGAGATACTGATCTTTGTTATTGTTTCTAATGAAAACCAGAGCCAGACAGTAGTTAAAGTAGTAAAAACAGATTTTATTCAGAAACTATTGTAATAGGAGAAAAAAAGACTTAAATATAGAACTGAGCCTAATTTCAAATACAGCAAGCACTAACAAGAATTTATCACCAAGAAGCAGGATTGGGGTCAGTGGATGGAAAAATTGACTAAAAGGAAACATCAGAGAGGAGAAGGGAGATTTGTGTTAAATAGATTTATTGGTGTTGGAGCAAAGGGAAAAACTTCCCCTTTGTCTTTTGAAAGTTTGCTGAAAAATCAACTCACATAGGGTACATTAATTAGAGAAAAAGTGTACTATTTTCTGAGCCCCATTAAGATGAACACAGAAGCACAAAAATTCAAGTCTAGGTGGGAAGGTTCAGAGTTGACTGACTGAAATTGGTCAAGGAGTGAGTCTTTGCATGATACCATAGTGAAGAAGATGAAGGTCATTCTAAGCCACAGGATACAGGAATGCTCATGGATGGAAGGTACTCTAGTTAAGTCTGAGAAGAGTAGCAATTTGGCCATGGTAAAAAATTGATAGTGAAATGTAAGATGAACATGCTTTATGAAAGATCACATATGCTAGCATGTCATGTTAAACATTATGGTCTTTATCCTAATAGCAGTTGACATTTGAGAGATATTATTTTTTTAAAAAACAAGAAATGTGGTACCATTGTGAAAGGTCTAATGAAAGGAAAAGAAAATAGTTATATAGAAAACAGTTTTGACTCTAATATAATAGAGATTGTCAGAAGAAATATAAGATTCTGAACAAGAGTAATAGCAAAAAGAATCAAGATGTATTTAAAAGATATTTTGAAGGTGAAATTCAAAATTCATGATGTTTGAATGAAAGATATGTGAGAGAAAGGGTCTAAAGATATCAAAATTTTAGCTTAAATAAGTGATTCCCATAAGTTGGACTTTGAGGCTTTTAATCACATTGGTGGATAATACTTCTATGTTTTGAATGGAGTGGAGTGGGAATATCCTCATTTTAGTTTTAAATTTACTGAATCTAAGCTATTAAAGTTGAAATGACTGACTAACCAAAACTAATTGCTCACATAAGGCAAGGTTTCTGACCTCTGTGTTCTAATTGGGAATAAACCAGTCAGGGACTAAGAGATAGAGGCAAAAAGCTGAAAAAAAAAAAAAGCTGAAAAAAAAAATTGAAAAAGCTTTAAAGCTGGAAAAAAAAACTTTTTCAAATGCTTTTAGATAGCCACTTAATAAACTTGTTGCTTTTAGTCTGTTTACCTGAAATATTCTAACTCCTAAGGCTATCTGCAAAGAATGTTGATTTGCATTTCAAAAATTTGCCCAAAGCTGTCAAATTGAGTAATACATTCATATAGAAACTTCTTTTGTTCATGTGAAGCCAGGAGGTAAACAATTGTTAAAGCATAAAGCAGAAATTCTCTTCCACTGGGTCAGTGCCATTTCTTTTCATTTCTCAGCAGGGTTAGACTAGTGTTGTACATGTCTATTGAATTTAACTGAGTCTTCCTGGCTCTCAATATTTCCTAAAGTGCGTATACTTGCTAAAGAGAACCAGAGCTGGACAGTAGTTAAAACATTAAAAATAAATTTGATTCAGGAACTATTGCAATAGGGAGAAGAAGCCTCAGTATAGAATTGGGCAAAATTTTGAACACAGGAAGGACTAGTGGAGATTTATAGACAAGGAGCAGGGGAGGAGGAAAATGAGGGAGGAGAGGAAGGGATTCCATCTGTGGATGAAAAATTACTAAAAGGAGACAAAAAAGGTAGGAGGATTTTTGCTACACTGACTTAAGAGGATTCTTGCTGAAGGTAGGCCAGGGTGATGACAGATATCAAGGGTGGGGGATTCTCTCAAACTGACTCACCAGGATTCTTACTACAACTGGGCTATGCAGGCTCCATTTGGATACAAAGGTGGGGTCTAAGGTTGAGACCCCTAGTAGGGATGAGGGCCTAGTGGATCTTGATCAAAGTTCAGTCAAGGAAAGAATCTGTCCACAAACATATGTGCAGAAGTGAGAATAAATAAATAAACAGAATTATTATATAGTAATTTCTCCAAGTTTTTGGCTTTACTTCAGAGTTCCTTTTATCTTCTAATATTGGAAATTCACATGAGTAAACTCTCTACAACAGAAACATTGCAAATGTTTTACAAAATTATAGATTTGGAAATAGTGTGGAGAATTTAGAATTACGGAAAAAAAGTAATGAACAAAGGTTACAAATAACATAGATTAGGCAAAATAAAAGTAACTGAAATAATTTTAACTATGAAAAGTTAATGGCCAAAAAATAATTTAATAACATAGATTGATAGCTAATAAAAACCTCAGAGAATGTCTCCTTACTTTTTAGATAAAAAAAGTTAAGTCCCAGAGAATAGGTAGATCCTTTAGTGGGAAGATATTCCCCATCATTATCAACAGTTTAACCAGAGCAAGTCAAGAGGGACTGTAAAGCTAGTTATGTTCAAGAACTTTCTTAAGTTTATTCAATGCAATGATTATTTAAATGCACTGAAAATTTGAACATATTTATTTCTGAAAAGTTTCTGGCATTATTTGGCACATTTTTTCTCTCTAGAACTATGTCTTAATTGTTATCATTTTGTGACTCATGTGAAATTAAATTAGTCATTCATCAAATAAGTTACTCATCAGAACCTATTAAAAGATTGGTGAATTACACTAGCAAATCATAACTTATTGATGAATTAGTGAGCTGTTACTAAATTAAATTAATTTTTCTCTTTCAGCAATGACAATGCAGTTTATTAGTCATCAGTTCCCTGATTATCATGATCCTACTATAGGTGAGTAAAGTTACTTTTCTCTTTTAGCTCAAATAAAGACACTGTAAATATGTGGCTTACAAATGCTGTCAATATTGATTGAGAAAAAAATATAATTTGCACTATTACACAGACTACATACACATAAATATATAATATATAATATGTAAGCTACCATAATTGAAGCTTCAAGAGACAGTATTTGTCCTTGTTTCTTGTCATGTATTCTGGTATTTTCTATTCCATTTAATTTGCTTCTGATACATAATGACTGGAATGCATTAAGTTGATCTTGGTATCTACTAATGGATATTTGCTCGCATTTGAAAAACTGTTCTATACAATAAAACTGATGTGATTATATAGTATTTGGTCATTTGCCCACTTTTGTCAGTCTCTAAATTTTCTACCGTGGAATTAGTTTAATCATGTTAAAAGTGCATTTGGAAAGGTATAGGTGTAATTTTATCCACCATCCTTATCTTGAAGGATGAGGAAACTGACATCTAAGCTGTCAAAATATTGTTAGAGCCCCAAATCTAGCCATGTTTAATTCCTCCTACCCAGTTTTCCTTCTACTATAATATACTACAGCAGCATTGCACCCGGGAATAAGTTTTCTCCCTCATTCAAAGCACAAAAGATGTGTCTAAAATTGGTTTATTCATTCAAAAAACCGAATCAAAAATTGGTTGGAAATTCTCAAGCAGAGTCTGCCATGGTATTCTTTATCTAGGAACATATTGGAATTGAAAACACATCAAACGTTTTATCCCGGAGAAGGATGTATATTGCTGCCAGACCCCATGTGGCTGGCTGCTTGCCTGGATGATGAGCTCCTTTAACTACTTTTCGTCACTTACTCTATTTATTCCTTCTATCTAAATGTCTCTTGTCCTCACCCCCATAGGTAAGACTGCCTAGTTTCTATTCTGCTTATGAAGCAATTTTAATTTAACGTCCCATTTAATATATAATATGTTACCCTATACATATGACTCCTGTGTTCCTTTCTGCTAAGAAGGAATATTTGAGTGCTATTGCTGAAAAAAAAATGTGCTTATTTTTAAAAGTCTGGTAATTCATTAAGACCACCTCATCAATTGAAGTGAATTGGTAAGATTTAAGTATACTCAATTGATATATTGTTAACTGAGAAGGACTTCCACAGGGAATTGTGTTTTGTTTCTGAAGAGGAAATAATCACTTTGTAAAGTTTTATAAAGCGATTAGCTGAAAACACTTGCTGATAATTCTCTAAGCCCATTTTCAAAATATCTGAAATCTAGAATGCTGGTAGCTTTCCACCACCCTCTATGAGTTATAGAAGAGGAGAAATCTCCAGGCAAAATCTCTGAATCTTTTATCTTGCTGAAAAATTCAATAATACATCATTTGTGAAATCACAAATTCACTCTGTTGTCTAGTATTTTCTGTTATTCTTAAAGCTTTCTATATATTGGTGTCTTAAAAACTGGCTACTTGTTTACCAGACTCTCAAGTCTAATAGTCTGAATAGGGCTGGAGATGTGAATAAATCATAAATGACTCCTTCAAGAGGAAAAAATGAGAAGTATGTGATGATGACTCCTTTAGATAGCCACAAGGCACATCCATCACTTGAGATTAAGCTTGCTGGACATTCAGTACTAACAGATAGCTGAAATCATACCTTTATCTGGCTATAAATAAAATAGTGTAGAGGAAGAAGTTTGAAAATGGAAACATGGAGTACTTTATTACTTTCAATTCGATTTTCCCATCATTTCATTTCTTGGCCTTTCTAATCAGAACATTGTTTAACACTTTTCCATTGGTATCCTGTTTGAGAAAGGTAAAACTACCAAATAATTTACTTTTCACCTGCTTCAGCTACATAACTATAACTCAGTCTGGCTGACTTAATGACCCCTCAAAAGGAAATTCATATTAGTGTAACTTGAAAATCATACAAATTATAGAAGAATACCACCTATCAATGATACTTATCTCACAATTTGTATAGCAAATAAATATTTCTCAATCCTTGCCTAGATCTGTTTGTCATCCTATTGGCTGAGGTTTTTAAATAGCTTTTATCTGAAATATTTGAGGGATTTGTATGGTTTTATTTTCTTCCTTACATTCAGCTTAGAATTATTTTTCTTTCAAATCTACATTAATTCTGACAATTTAGGATCCCGTTGTCACTGAAAAGAGTTAGATATATTATTTAGTTCAAGTGTCCTTCCCAAGAAGTGATTGTTGTCATTTATTGTTAACAGTTTCAAAGTCAGTAACTAATGAGTTCAAGTTCTGCAAATCCACAGAAGATACCTACGGAAGGGATATTTAAATATACTGATTCTATTTCTTCATGTGAAAAGACTTCATGCAAAAATTAAATTAGTTTCCTTATAAAGGTACTAAATCTAGATAAATTCAAGTTTTAATTTAATCTTGAAATGGAGTATCTCTGAGCATTAGACATTGTGCTAAGTACAATTTGATTTTTCATAGCAAAATAATTATGGAAATAGTAAGTAACATTTCAACCAAAGACTTGATGTCTAGCCCTTTATTCCTAATAAACACATATGCCATATTTAATTAACGATAAATCATTAGAGATGACCATTTTATGATGCAATTCAATTAGCAAAAATTTAAATGCCTTCTCTTTGGAAAGCAATCTGCTTGTCCTCCAGAACAACAACAAAAAGATTAAAATATCACAGCTTAAGCACTCAAGAGATTTTCAATTTAGGAAAAGGAATTAAGACAAATACACAAATATTTATAATATCTCTGAAGTCAGTTGTTACTGTAAGAAGGCAACAAAGTGCTTCTTTGAAGGAGTTTTGCAAAGATGAAGAGATAGGTTCCTGGCCTTCTCTTAAGTTGTATTCACTATGATCTAAGATCACTGTTTCCTACACAGTTTTGAAAACCAAGAAACTCCTGCCATCTGTTCTAGAATTCAGAACTACTTTTTTAAGGAGACATGTCAGAGAAGTCTGGAATTCTTGAAGATTGTTTGAGAAAATGACCTAGGACAGTTTGTTGTGATATGCCATTTTAGTCTCATTGTAACTTGCTTGAAGTTAAAACTCTTATTGTACATAATTTTAATTAAATGTGAATTAAAAATTGAGTTGTTGACCTTTATTCTGCAATAGAAGATGTGGTCACTGTCCCTAAAACCAAGAATATAAATATCAGTTTCTAATTTGTTGATTGTATATTTTAGTCCAAATTATTGTTTAATGATATCCTCGTGTGTTGAGAATTGTTTCTGTTCATGTTTATTGGTAATCACATGAAGGCAAACCGTGAGCATAGAAAACCAGATCATTTCACTTGGCAAATGAATACAGATGAAAACAAGACATAGTTTTAATTAGTTTGCCCTGAATAAGATATATTGGCACTGGATAGAAAATTCTGAATCCTGAAAGATTTATTTTCTTTTAATTACAGATTATCTTAACTTTGATTATGTTGTATATGTAATTAGTGATTACCTCCCACTAACCTTAAAAGCATATATGTGCATGTGGGTGTCATGCATCATTTTAAACATTGGATATATAGAGATAAAAACATAGTCTATGCCCTCAAAGCACTCCCAGACAGGTGGTGTAGATAAATAAACAAATGAAACTATGAATAGAAAAGCACAGGGTGCTGAAGAAGGGTAACATTGGTATATCTCGCTTGACCTGAAGGATCAGGGAATGGTTTCTGTCAAAAGACAAAATTACAATAAATTTAACTTTTATTCATAGTTCATGACTTGAGGCAGCCTCTATTCTACAAAATATTAATAGAATGAGAGCTCCCACTAGGCAATGACAGGACAGTGGATTTCGTAAGACCAGGACAAGGAAACAGAACAATGGAAAAATAAATATATAAACCTGAGTTGTTAACATCAGGTCACTTCAGTTTATTTTTTTGTAGGGTTAAAGCAGAGGGTGCTTCCTTATTACACTAACTAGGGTAAACTGGAATCTCCTGTTTGCAGGAAAACTGGTCTGTTATGAGATTTATCTTCTTCCTTAAAATTTCATTTTGGTTTCATGGCATTTAACATGAGTGACCTCATTTTGGTTTGGTCTGGTCTGCTGGGACTACTGTAGAAACTCAGTCTCAAACAATGGCCTGCCATAAGATTGTTTGACAGTGCAGAGCAGATGATATCTGAACTTATTTTAGAACGATGCATAGGAATTAGGCAAGTAAAAAGGAGGGATTGCCAGAAAAAAAAAATATATATATATATAGGCCCCTAGACAAGACAGAACATCATGTGATAGAGATGGGACATTTTAGGAACCAGAAACCCTACAAGTGACATAGATGCCATGATATACAGGATAACAAGAGAGACTTAAAGACATTATCAGGGACCAGATATTTAAAGATCTTGTAGACTTGGGTAAGGATTTAGATATCTATGATTTTCCTTTTGTATTCTTCTCTGAGATAAAGATAAATATTACTGATAGCTTATTTAACTTTTCTATTAGATAGTTCCAAAGCAGAAAAAAACTAAATGTGCCCAAATTTTAACCAATACTTGATTTTCTCAGGTATACTTTTGCTTCCTCCAGGATTCTTCATCATGGCAAATTATCTTCATCCTTACTTGCTGTAACCTTATTCTAAGTCACCCCCATCTCCAATTGGGACGAGCTCTTTAAATTGGTGTCCTCACAGAACCAAAAATTATCTTTAAAACCATACATTAGGACTATTTTATTCTTTGTTTACAGTCCCCCAGTATTGTATAAATTTTAGGATGAAAAACGAATTCTAAGCTAAGTGAAGACTCTTGTCCTCTTGCTATCATTTATGTCGTCAGCTTCCACACTTGCCACCTGCCACTCCCTTCTTGGCTTCACCACATCCTCCTTCTTTTAGATCCACAAACTAGCCATTCTCTTTTCTGTCACATGTATTTCAACCAGAATGCTTTCACCTCTCCACCTACATCTTTGCCTGTTAACTCATACTCTTTGTCAAGTTAATTTTAAATA